GCTTAAACAGTGCTTTACTGCGAAGGATCGTGCACATATACGTTTCATAACCGCAGTTCATATATATGTATTTCATATGTTTGTTGTTTGATTTATCATCTACGGGTTTATGTCGAATTAATTTGATGGCCTGCTCCCAGTTGGCTTGTTAGCTCAATTGGTAGAGCGCTGCACTAGTATCGCAGAGGTCAGTGGTTCGAATCCCGTACAGGCCTGAATTTTTTTCAGGTCTGATTTTCACTATTGCTTAAATAGTGCTTTACTGCGAAGGATCGTGCACATATACGTTTCATAACCGCAGTTCATATATATGTATTTCATATGTTTGTTGTTTGATTTATCATCTACGGGTTTATGTCGAATTAATTTGATGGCCTGCTCCCAGTTGGCTTGTTAGCTCAATTGGTAGAGCGCTGCACTAGTATCGCAGAGGTCAGTGGTTCGAATCCCGTACAGGCCTGAATTTTTTTCAGGTCTGATTTTCACTATTGCTTAAATAGTGCTTTACTGCGAAGGATCGTGCACATATACGTTTCATAACCGCAGTTCATATATATGTATTTCATATGTTTGTTGTTTGATTTATCATCTACGGGTTTATGTCGAATTAATTTGATGGCCTGCTCCCAGTTGGCTTGTTAGCTCAATTGGTAGAGCGCTGCACTAGTATCGCAGAGGTCAGTGGTTCGAATCCCGTACAGGCCTGAATTTTTTTCAGGTCTGATTTTCACTATTGCTTAAATAGTGCTTTACTGCGAAGGATCGTGCACATATACGTTTCATAACCGCAGTTCATATATATGTATTTCATATGTTTGTTGTTTGATTTATCATCTACGGGTTTATGTCGAATTAATTTGATGGCCTGCTCCCAGTTGGCTTGTTAGCTCAATTGGTAGAGCGCTGCACTAGTATCGCAGAGGTCAGTGGTTCGAATCCCGTACAGGCCTGAATTTTTTTCAGGTCTGATTTTCACTATTGCTTAAATAGTGCTTTACTGCGAAGGATCGTGCACATATACGTTTCATAACCGCAGTTCATATATATGTATTTCATATGTTTGTTGTTTGATTTATCATCTACGGGTTTATGTCGAATTAATTTGATGGCCTGCTCCCAGTTGGCTTGTTAGCTCAATTGGTAGAGCGCTGCACTAGTATCGCAGAGGTCAGTGGTTCGAATCCCGTACAGGCCTGAATTTTTTTCAGGTCTGATTTTCACTATTGCTTAAATAGTGCTTTACTGCGAAGGATCGTGCACATATACGTTTCATAACCGCAGTTCATATATATGTATTTCATATGTTTGTTGTTTGATTTATCATCTACGGGTTTATGTCGAATTAATTTGATGGCCTGCTCCCAGTTGGCTTGTTAGCTCAATTGGTAGAGCGCTGCACTAGTATCGCAGAGGTCAGTGGTTCGAATCCCGTACAGGCCTGAATTTTTTTCAGGTCTGATTTTCACTATTGCTTAAATAGTGCTTTACTGCGAAGGATCGTGCACATATACGTTTCATAACCGCAGTTCATATATATGTATTTCATATGTTTGTTGTTTGATTTATCATCTACGGGTTTATGTCGAATTAATTTGATGGCCTGCTCCCAGTTGGCTTGTTAGCTCAATTGGTAGAGCGCTGCACTAGTATCGCAGAGGTCAGTGGTTCGAATCCCGTACAGGCCTGAATTTTTTTCAGGTCTGATTTTCACTATTGCTTAAATAGTGCTTTACTGCGAAGGATCGTGCACATATACGTTTCATAACCGCAGTTCATATATATGTATTTCATATGTTTGTTGTTTGATTTATCATCTACGGGTTTATGTCGAATTAATTTGATGGCCTGCTCCCAGTTGGCTTGTTAGCTCAATTGGTAGAGCGCTGCACTAGTATCGCAGAGGTCAGTGGTTCGAATCCCGTACAGGCCTGAATTTTTTTCAGGTCTGATTTTCACTATTGCTTAAATAGTGCTTTACTGCGAAGGATCGTGCACATATACGTTTCATAACCGCAGTTCATATATATGTATTTCATATGTTTGTTGTTTGATTTATCATCTACGGGTTTATGTCGAATTAATTTGATGGCCTGCTCCCAGTTGGCTTGTTAGCTCAATTGGTAGAGCGCTGCACTAGTATCGCAGAGGTCAGTGGTTCGAATCCCGTACAGGCCTGAATTTTTTTCAGGTCTGATTTTCACTATTGCTTAAATAGTGCTTTACTGCGAAGGATCGTGCACATATACGTTTCATAACCGCAGTTCATATATATGTATTTCATATGTTTGTTGTTTGATTTATCATCTACGGGTTTATGTCGAATTAATTTGATGGCCTGCTCCCAGTTGGCTTGTTAGCTCAATTGGTAGAGCGCTGCACTAGTATCGCAGAGGTCAGTGGTTCGAATCCCGTACAGGCCTGAATTTTTTTCAGGTCTGATTTTCACTATTGCTTAAATAGTGCTTTACTGCGAAGGATCGTGCACATATACGTTTCATAACCGCAGTTCATATATATATGTATTTCATATATATTTGTTGTTTAAAGTTGAATCACTTGACCCATAGGTGAATGCAAACTACACAAATGAATTTAGAATGAGGCGAACTGATGTTATTACATTCGGCTTGCCATTGCAGCGCGAATATAAAAGCTTTTACCGATGAAGTGCTGGTAGGGGTCCTTGTAACTTGCGATTATAAAGTGTTCTTAGATCGCACAATTTACTGAAAATCGAATTCATCCTAGAACATGTGCAACTCAAACGCCTACCGCTTCCGGCGCCTGTATAGTTTTTTCATGAAAGCAGATATATTAGAAAGGCCTCAATTCAAAGATATGATAAATTTCAAAGAAAATAGTGATAGAAGCTGTTTTACTTATGATCCATTAGGCTTTAAGCACTTTAAATTAGAAGAGAATATCCCTAAAAAATCTCCCCTTATGAGAGACGTATGGGATGCCGCGTACGTGTTGGCCCCTAATAGTCATACAACTCGATGTACGCCCATGCGAGGTGTAAGGATGGAAAAAAATGCAAGGATAAAATAAGACAGAAAAAAGCGGGGATAAAATTTAAAAACGGAAACATGGAAACGTCAACGACCTTGAGCGAGACCTTTTCCCGTCCACTGGCTTTCCTACCCGATCAGTCAGTGCACAGTCCTTGTGTTTTTCTAAGTATGATGTTGAACTAGTTTTGTGAAATCTTTTTAAAGAAAAAATGTTCATTTTTAAAATATTTCATATGCGCTTTTCTGATGAGTTTTTAGGACGCACGAACATTACATAGCATTTTTAAGGACAACTATGCTTCAGAAACCGTTTCATGTGTGTCTCGGCCATTGAGAAGTGGTATTCAAAGAAATAACTCGTTTTATCACATGACCCGTCCGGCCCCGCTCGTGCAGTAGCATAGAAAACCACAGTGAAAGCTGATGTGTGCAGGGCCGGACAGAATTATGTCAGCCTGTCCGGAAAAGGCCGTCCGGCCCTTCACGTCGCTTCGTTGCATAAATGAGGAAAAAGATTCACGTTTTTCGAGGAATTAATTGGGACTTACTCGTTCTTAATCGAAAAAACAAAAAATAAAGGGAAAGTTTTAATTGCGTATTTGTTATCTTCTCGTGTGGCTGCATGTGCCCGTCTATCGCGTTCTACTGTATTGAGGTTGAAATTTTCAAAACTTCTTGGTCATACGATAAAATACTTTTTGACTGAGTTTGTTCGGGCTGGACGGGAGTATCTGGCTCTTGGTTTAAAGATTTCGAGCGGTAGCTGCTTGACGAATATCATGGACGACTAGCATCTTCATTTACAGCTAACTGCGATGAGACGGTGCTAATTTAACAGAGTAGGACGAAGAAAACTCAGGAATGGGCCCGATGCCCTTCTTTCCTGACACCGTATTCGCGATTTCCTATTATCAGTTCAGTTTGTACCAAGCTTTCTGTATTCCTTGTTGAATTAAGCATAAAATTCGAAGCCACGCAGACAAATTATGTCTATACATAATTTCTTAAGGATAATATCCTTCCAATTTTAAGTTGGGAAAATGGCAGATTTTTTTCAGAATTAACATCTCACCTGAGCTTAAGTTGCGCTTCCTGCCTTACTTCTTGGCCTGCGTATACAACTATAATGATCTTTACGGAACACTCTTAATAATAAAGCTTTGATTATATCAACCAGCAAACCTACCCCCCATGAGACCCTCTCGTGAAGGTTTACGTAGAGCTTCCAAATTAAGATTCTTATTCGACTATTCAGGGAGATATAAAGCTTGAACATTGCATGCTCATCATTAACGGAGCAAATATGGCCTTACTCGCTCGTAATTGCTGAATGGATAAAAGTGTAGGTTGAAAAACAAGCGTGTACTTGTGCTTTTATATGGAAAAAATTGATCAGAATACGATTTCTGACATGCTCATTACAGTGTCTGGGCACCCTTATATAGGCACAATCCATTAAAGGGTCGTATGCGTGGGTGACACTTCAAGTTATGCAATTTTATTCCGGTCTAAAGACACCTTAAATGATCAAACCGAACGAAGGAGGGTCTGAGCTTAAATGGGGATCACCAAACTCTTTTTTGAACTTTTTCGAACAGGCATACATACAGCGGTTGAGAAATAATTGGTTACATTTTTGATGCCGATTTGAAGGAAATAGACGAAAAGATATTGATGATGCGGTACATCAAAAAAAATTATTTTAAGATTTTTGAATCCTTGAATGGAATCAATCATTCTTAGTAAAGTGGGACGATAAAAAAAAATGAGTAGAAGCTGTTAACTAAGTACCGTTATCATTTTTTCTTTTTCAAATTACGAATCTATTTCGGAATGATATCACTAAGTAAAGAGGCATGGTCAAACACATTGCAGAGGAGATACTGAATTTACAGATTTTCAATTTTTTAAAGTCATTGGGAGAGTCATTAAATTAAAGCCTTCTTACATTAGTGATTACCGTCAAAATCGATCTTCATTCCCTTATTCCAGTTAGATGTGAAAAGAACTTCAGACCAGTTTTTTACACGATGCCTGACCCAAACCGCGGTTTTACGCAAGTAGTGAGCCTTAGGTTTTACTTACACAAGAGGGTTGATTCAATTAAATAAATGACTGTCCCTTCCCGTGTTAGCTGTCGTATAAGATGAAAAATGTTTCTGCGAAATATACGTATTTCCAACATTATGCGTATTTGCTTAAGTTACAGTCCAAACAATTACGATAAATAACTTAAAGACAAAAAGTCGTCATATTAAGCCAACTTTTTCTGGAAAATGTGTCTTTTTCAAGTGGAAAATTTTGGCAAAATTACACGGTCAGTTTTGAGGTTAGTTAAAAAAATAAAAAGGAATAGCATTTTAGGTCTGACAGCTGCTGCTACCCGGGCACACAACAGGGCTGTAGCCAGATTTCAGGACAAGATAAGTTTCGAGCGCCGAAGACGCGAGCCGCTAGAGGGGTCTGGGGGCATGCCCCCCCAAAAAATTGGAAATCTAGATGTTTAGAAGTGCTCTTTTAAGGATTTTCCGTGGCATTTTTCTTCAGAAAAGTCAATCTTTAAGAAAAAAAATTAAAAAGGGCCAAAATTAAGACGAGGCAATTGCCTCGTCTTGCCTCATGCTAGCTACAAGGGGAAAACTGGCTGTAGAGTGTACTGCTATCGATGTTGTCTCTTTCAGTCTTCATTTTCTCTTCTCCGCTGCTGTAATTCTTATTCACAGTCGATTAACTACTTCTACCTCTGACCACTACGAGCGTATAAATGACATATATTAACCCTAGCAACTAATTCTATACTAAAATTTTTTATATACAGCACCAGCAGTAGGTATAATTGTGAATGCGAGCTCACTGATCTTGAAAGATTAAACACTTTCTTATCGGAACATATACTGGCCTGAACACTTTCAAAAGAATCTTGTGAACTGAACAACATTGGTAAAAGCTTCCGATTAATCGTTTTCGCATTGCTCTGACATATCCGCCAAAGAGATAATGTAAATCAGTGTTATCATTTTTATCATTATAATTGTTAATATCTGTTACCATTTAATTATCATTTGAATATCAATCAGACAATATGTTCTTGAATCACCTTTCTCTTGTGGAACAGGGTGCTGATTAATATGTGGGATGCAGCGGGTTTCTGTTTTACACGTGCGACAAATATTCTGCGACACTACCCTCTAGCGTCATTATACACCCTCTAAACTAGTGATTTTCAGTGAGAAGAGTTATTTCAGCGCAATGCTGATTTTGTCACTTTAATGCAGATAATCGGTCGCTTATACAACCAGAGTAACAATCAAATTCATGCTCTATTTCTGGCTTCCCCGCTATCAATTTTGCCTCAGAGGTAAAAGAACACAGCTGCCCCATACTAGACTTATTCTTTTTTTTTTCATTCCTAAAGGGTAACATTCTATAACAAATGAGATGCAATGAATATATGAAGTTCATATATTTTGAACTGCGGTATTAGATACGTATGATGTGCGATCCTCGCAGTAGATAGCGCTATTCATGCAATAGCGAAAATCAGACCTGAAAAAAATCAGGCCTGTACGTATAATCAGGCCTGTATAACAAAATTTCGTAGGCTGCATGTTTTAGCGATTCCGTTGTAATCATCCTCTATGATAGAATACACATGATGAAGTTCTTGGACTTACAGCAGTTTGCTTTTTACATCCGACTTTTCACGCTGTAAAAACTACTAAGGTTAAAAGATCTTGAAAAATATTCTCGAATGATTTAGGAGGGAAAAAGAAGCAGCAGCTGACGATCAGTATTGAAGTGCATTTAACTCCGTTCCTAATCAATTGATGTATTTAACTCAAGGTTCATTTGCAAAGCGACATAGTCAAAAGACGTCAGACACGTCGAAGGTCGACTTTCGCACTTTATTTACAATGTCCTGAGCAGTTGCAGAGAGGCTCAGTTAAGTAAATTTTGTGTTTAATTTTGAGAGATACGACACTACCACAAAAAAACTCTTGTTTGAAATTACTTTTCCTTAATATGTTATAGAAATCGATAAAAATCTTATCGAACCATTTGAGACGTCGTAACATGTTCTGGGAATCACCTTACTTCTGTCTGTTCAATATAAGACTAAAGTTACATGACGGAGGTTTTCACACCGTTTGATTCTTCTCCATTGTCACGAACATTAACTTTGTTGCAACGGTATCTTTTAAACAGCGCTGCCATGTGGCGACGGAATCGATGGCTTTGCAAGCTGTAAACCACCGGATTGACGGCGGAGTTTAGAGAAACCATTAAGACCGATGTCGTGTGAATCGCACCGAACAACTGCTTGGCTGAGTAGGCCACATAAATGTAAGCAAAGCAGTTTGGAAACCAGCAGATACAATAGATTAAACTCACTGTGACCACCATCTTGGTGGAGTGACGTCGGTGTTTGAGTACTGCTTGTTGAGACACAGACGTGGTCGAAGTTTTGTTTTTAAGCCAAAGTTGATAAATGAGAAGAGCGTAGAGCACCCCCATGATCAGTGCAGGGAAGACAAAGAATATTTGGGCGTTAATGACGCTATGGTATCTTATGAAGTTTGGTGTTGGCCAAAATGGAACGCAGCTTCCGGAGTTCTCGTCATATTTGAGGTAAATAAAAGCCGGTAGGTTAACTCCAAGAGCAAAGACCCAGCAAAGTGGTATGACGTATTTCAGCTTCTTAGTCGTCAGCCTCTTTTTGTCGCTATAAGGGAAGCGGATTGAGAGATATCGCTCAACCGCAATACAAACCAGAGTAACATCTGAAGCTAGGGCTCCGGTCCAAGTAAAGGAATCCCCAGTAATAATTTTGCAAAAGTAGTCACCAAGAGTTCCTCTGGGATGATTCAGCGTCTGGCCGAAGATGAACCTCGGGGACATGAACAAACCAACCATTATATCACTGATTGCCAGATTTACCAAGAGGTAATTCATTGGAATGCGCATGTCTCGAAATTTGAGCACCACAAAGCAGACGAGATTGTTGCCGAATAGATTGATGAGCATTGACAACGTGAAAGCGATGTTGAAACCATCATTTAAGAAGCTGTCTTCAGCCATTTCCTAGGGAAAGAAAATAAAGGCACGAAGACATCACTGTTAATTGAGTTTGGAATGGGTTTTAAACTGCTCAAGGTTTGTGCAGATTTTTTTTTAAAATTTCCACTGACGCAAGAATGAAAAGTAATTTAGCCGATGTTTTTCGTCTCGCGTTACTTCAGCTCGTAAAGGATACCCAAGTCCTCTTAGACATCTCTTTGGAAGAAGTAAGTCTATAAATTCTTTCAGTTCTTAAACTGCACGATTGTTATGCGTCATTAGAATGCACATTTGTAAAGAGCTCTTGAAAGGTTCGACTTGAACTTCTGAATGCTCTAGCATAATATATGGAGCTATTTGGGGTCCTTAAGACGAGTCATGATTGCAAAGTTTCCTTAGAATACGTAATTTTCGCCTTAGCTATCCGCTGTTAATCAAATTCATCCGTAGGAAATGTGCAACTTATAAGCTTACGCAACGTGGTTAGAAAGGTACAGAAAAAAATTTGAGAATTTTTTTTGAATTGTGAAAGAAAAATATACATCATTGTTTTTGATTAGTTCAATGGAAAAGCTTTTCAAACTCATTAACAATTCATCAAGTTACAAACCAATCACGATACGCCAATTTGGCCACATGTGTGCGTTTAGAAACCCCGATGAAACACTGGACAGAGGCTTTTCCACTATACTTTGATGAAATATCAAACTCTAGAGTTTGATAAAATGTCAAACCCCACTGATGCCAAAATCAGTCAGAATTTTTTCACTGTTCTTGGCTAATGATACACGATTGAGAAGCAATTTCAAAAACTCGTGCTTCGTGTGTTTCATCGGGGTTTTCAAACACTCAAAAACAATGAAAGCACGGGGCCGTAGGCCCCGTGCTTTCATCAGTTTTCTCGTGTTTGGAAACCCCGATAAAACACTCGCACTCGTTTTTGAAGTATTACAAGAAGTATTTATGATAGTAGTCAAATGGCTTTGCGCTTCAATTAGGCCAGGAAAAAGCCGCTTTGCCTTTTTGCTTTTTGCTTTAGGAAAGAGATAATAAACTGTTTATTATCACTTACTTAAAATCCTGACGTATGGACCGCGCTGCGCTCGATTGATACGCCCTACAGACACGAAATCATTTTTCTCTTGGCGATCAAAAAGCAATTTAGCAATGGTCTACTCATTATATCTGGAGTATATTTAGGGGTTACTTTACCGTTTCTAGACTGACCATTTCTAAAGATTCAACCGCAAACAACACAAGTTTGAAAGAACTTTGAATTCAGTAACCTGGACGCTATAATTCATTCATTCTTTAAAGTCAC